TTTTTTTTTTTTTTCTGGGAGTCAGACCTAACTGTTTATGGTCGGGACCCTGAAGCACATTTTGTAGGTAAATCAGGACCTCGGGAGCCACACAGACCTGGTTTCAAGTAGCAAACTGACTCCCCTTGCAAAGCCTCAGTTTCCCTTCTGGAGAATGGGGGACTACTCATGCCCGTGTCCAGTGCCAGGGGTGCCAGGGGCTCCGAGGACACTCGTCCGTCACTCCCTTCCCTTCCCCTCGCCGGTGCCAAAATTTACAGCGTCACCTCTGAGTGACATTAAGTGACAGACAGGCTCACAAACCAGCCTCGTAGGCCCCTGGGTGACTTCCCCTCCTCCCTCGGGCAGGTTCTCCGAGTCGCGGAATTGGGGGGCCGGGGTGGCTGCACGGCCCGGGCGGGAGAGGCGAGGCAGGCCTGGAGAGAGGGAGGACAGTGAGGTCGATCTTGGAAAATGTTTCCGCCTTCTTCAGGGGCCTCATCGTGAAGACCTGCCAGGCCCTGGCCACGCGCCGGACGGTGACCTTGTTGAGGGGAAGCGAGGGCGTGGGCACCGTGAGCGCGTCTGACTCTCGGTTCTCTTCCAGCCCGTCTCTGCCCGCCCTCGACTGGCAGCTGCCGTCACACTCGGGGCCCTACGAGCTGAGGATCGAGGTGCAGCCCAAGTCCCACCACAGAGCCCACTACGAGACGGAGGGCAGCCGGGGGGCCGTGAAGGCGTCGGCGGGGGGACACCCCAGCGTGCAGGTACCGGCGGGCTCCCCCGGGGCTTCCTGAGTCCACGGGCAGCTTTGTGGCAACGGCTGACAGCTCCCCCTTTTTCTCTTTAAAAAAACCTGTCGCCTCCCAACCGGCTTAGCTGAGACCGCGTGTCGGCGAAGGCCCGGTTCCCCTGTCCGTTCGGGCCTGGTGGGAGCTGCTCTTCGTGGAGCTGCTCTGGGGAAACGGGCAGTAACCGGACCCGGGCCCGGGCACGGTCCCCGCAGCCTGGCCGTGGGTGGAGTGGGGGCTCTCCCGTCACAGCCTGGGCGCCACCCCCACCTCACAGCACTTAGGAGGGAAGCATGGCTTCAGGGTTAGAGCTGGTGTTCAGAGAGGTCCTTGGCAACCGTGATGGGGACGGGTGTCCTCTACCATCCCAAACTTGTCGCCCTGCTGCGCCCGGGGAGGGGATCTAAACTCCCAGGTGGGTGTTGGTGGCATCCGCGTTTCCCTTGGTTACCTGTCACCTAATAAGCTATAAGTCCTCCCTGGCCCCTGATGTGACTGTCATGCGGAGGGGCCTTGCCCCAGAGCTCCAGGCCCTGTGGTGACAAGAATGTGTCCCCGAGTCTGCGCCCCCCACAGCTGTGTGCCTGTCCCGCTACCCGGACATGCCAGCGGGGCCTCCCCGTTTACGTTTATTCCACTGAGAGGAATAATGCGCTGGGGCAGGAGGAGGGCAGGGAGGCCGGCAGCCGTGGCCACAGTCCGCGCCATCAGGAGGGCGCTGGGAGGGCGGCCCGGGCCCACACGGGGACGGTAGTTGGCACTTGAGGCCGTGCGCTTGGCCCCAGTTAATACCTGCCTGGTTAGCCGCTGGACTCGGCACCGCTGCCGGTGGCATTTTAAGTTGCCGCCTTTCCGGGGGAGAAAATCAGACGACGCCTGCAGCCAGCCGAGCTCCACAGCAGCAGGTGTTTAACTCCCTCTCGGGCCGGTTTTCATGGAATGAAAATGCGTTGTTGCTGAATGCGAGACGTTACGGCCGATCCGAAACAAACGTGGAAAGGGGAGTAAAGCAGCAGAGAAGTCAAGTCCGTCCGTCCACCCCCCCCCCCC